GATGTAGATGGAATACTGGATATCACATTGTGGAATCGCCACCCCGACCACTTCTCCCAAGAGCTCGATACCAATATTACAATTAAAAATTTTCCTTCGAGAAAAATCTTTAATCTTATCTGACAAGGTAGAAGCACCCCTGCAAGAAAAATTCTCTTTTCTTTTCACTCAGTCCTTAAGATTAAATTTTATTAGCTCGAAGTTTTTCAGCCAAATAATAATATATCTCCCTCAAAACTCTTTAATAACAAGTATTTAAGCAAATTCAAACCTAAAAAGCTCATAAGAAGCCATTATTTTTAATCTTAGCCCTTCATTATTAATTTAAATGGCTAACCTCGCCCCTAATAATGGTCCTCGGAGTCACAAAGTTTTGGTTATGCTGGGCATGGCCGCATCAAATTTTTTTTCTGTAATTTTTCTCCCTCAAAATAATATATAACATGTAAATTCTGTAGCGCATGATTTGATTCCAATTCATTTTCTTTTAAAATTATAAGTGTGGTTTTGGATAATATTCTTTCCATATAATTTCCCTCTATCAAAAAATACAAACCACATTTAAATAATCGAAATCTATTTTTCTTTTACACATTCAAATAATTAAATTCATTTTTTTTTAAAAAAAAATTAAAGTTTAGTATTGGAGAATATTGATTTTTTCTACGGAAAATTACAAATAACCCTCAAGAATATACTTCCTATGCAACTTACCCCTAACAAAACTTTGTTTTCTCACTTTTTACCCCAAATTTAAGTTTCCTAGGAAATACACCCCAGTCATAAAAAATACATAAAAAATATCAAATTAAGATCAAAATACCCTCGGGAAAGCATGTGGTCCAGCGCAAAATGGGGATGTCCGGCACTTTGCTTCTGGACAGCATGTTGTTCGGCACAAAATAAGGGTGGTCTGGTGCTTTGGGCTAGCGGTCCGGCACAAAATGGGGGCGGTCCATCTCTTTGCTTTTGGAAAACATTTGGTCTGACACAAAATAGGGGCAGTCCGACACTTTAGGCATGCGGGCGGTCCAACACTTTGAACTTTTGAAAAGCATGCGGCCCAACATAAAATAGGGACCGTTCGACACTTTGGGTTTTTGGAAAGCATACAACCCGACATAAAATAGGGGCGGTCTGGCGCATTGGGCATGCGGTCCGGCACAAAATGGGGTGGTTCGGCACTATGGCATTTTCGTCCAAAAAATATGAGTTTTGATTTGGCGGGTGTATGTTAAAAAACTTCAAGTTGGGGTAAAAGTTGTTAAATAAAACTTTGTTGGGGATAGGATCTCTAGAAGTATCCTTTTGGGTTTTTTTTTTTATTTATAATTTTTCCTTTTATTCTACCCACTATCAGATTTTTTAACTTTGAAACTGAATTTTACCACCCAATACCAAATATATAAAACTTAATTATCACACCCACTACCAAATTTTTACTACGGAAATTTAATACCAAAGTTCACTCTGAAACCCAAAAAAATAAAACTGAAACTCCTAGCCAAGCATCGATGAAATTCTAAATAAAACTTGGTGCCCATTGTTTATATGAAAGTTTTACTCAAGTATCGTATAAAAACTTATTTTTTAGTTAAAAGTTTTCCTCAATCCCAAGTCTAGCTCCATCTTAAACTTTCAATACAATTACATATAAGAAGGATGGGAGGATGGGTTTCTATGTGTCTCCGAACTCACGTGTGCATGATGGGCACTTTCTAAAATCTATCTTAAAGATTGATTTTAGATTCAATTTTTTAAAAGATGCATGATTAGCTATGATAATCCTAAATATGGAATTTTTTAAAAGTATTTAAATTTAAAATTTATTTTTAAAAGTTTTTAAAACAAAAGCAAATGTTCTATTGGATGGCCATAAGACTAACCGTTCTTTATGGGACAAAATATTGGGACAAATTACTGCACCTATTTTACAAGTGCAGCTAAGATAAGAATGTTGAGATGGATGAGTGACAAGATAATAAAGGGTAGAATTTAGAATGAACATATATGATGGAACTTAGGGGTAGTTCCAATCGACGATGAGATGAATAAAAATAGACTTAGATAGTCTTACCACATGTGGCATCAACCTAGAACAATACCAGTCGAGAACGGTAATAAGGCTCGAAAGGAATGGACAGAAGTAGTGAGAAGATATATGTTGCTCTTCTGGTACCAAAACCATTAACTCAAGTAGGAGAGACCGGATTAAAACCTAAACTATGAGTTGGATCTGGAATTAGATTCAGATATGGATCTGCATATTTTAGATCCTATTGTATCCGAATCCGATGGATACTATTCGAATCCAGATTCAAATCTTGGTGGATCTGAATGCAATCCGAAAAATTCTCAACCCAAACTTACTCGGTCCAATTTTTTTTTTTTTCTTTTTATTGTCTGGCTTGACTTGGAGCAACCTTAAAGGAGCCCAGTTTGGGCTAGGGGCATGAGCCCAATTTCAACCTGTTACCAGTTTTAAACAAAAGGGAAAGGTTTCTAAGCTTCCCCTATAGTATAGAAGATACATACTCCCTCCTTCATCTGGCGGTGGAATTTAGATCAAGTGAGACATTGATCGTTTCATCTAGATTTGATACTTCAGAGTATTTTATTTTTAGTTTTTTCTACAAATTGTATGAATATAAAATTTGTTATGTGCCATCTTCTTAATGGGGGGGGCACACCTAAAAAAAAAAAAAAAATTATTATTCGACAAAAATAATGACTAAAATTCCCTTTGAATATTTCAAAGGTATTTTGATCATTTTATTTTATTGAGAAATTTATTTATATTTTTTACAAATGCAAGTTAAGAGAGGAGTGGAAGCCCAGAATTTGTTGTCAAAATAGTTTATAGAAAGAAGCTTAAAATAAAAAAAGATAGTTTGATGGGCCTTATCAAAATAAGTAAATCCTCACCTCGTAACTCATTGAAAATTACAAGTCAAGCATTAAAAAATCTTTACATTGGTCATCTTGACCTGAACGTTTTGGTTGTAAAACTAAATTAGGATTACAAACTCTAAAAATAGTATATATTATAACTAATTATCTAAACCATCCATTTTGCATTAAAAATAAGTGTTCACGTATTTTTTGAATTTTTAAATTTAATTGTCAGTTTTGGAAATTGATTTTATTACCATCATAGAGATTTTTTTTCGCCAAAAGTACTTTTCGGTCGAAGATTTGAGGTGAGTTTTTATTTTGTTTTCGTAAACCTAAGCATTAAAAATAATGTATGGACATGACCGGTGTTTAAAAAAACGCCGAGTCGAACCGGACTCGCCCGGTTCGACTCGGGAATCGTCATGGACAGATCGAATCGACGAAAAAAACAAGAAATCGTCCAGTTCTAGAGAGAATCGGACGATTATGTACAGTGACTCGCCGATTCACTGTACGGAATCGGCGAGTCCGAACAGTGAACCGGCGAGTCACGTACGGGTTTTTTTTTTTTTTTTGTAATCCATGATAAAGTTTTTTATAATACTTGATCGATTTTTTTGTAATCCATGATCGTAATTTTTTTGTTTTTTTTTTTTTTGTAACCCATGATAGAATTTTTTGTAATCCATGATCGAAATGTTCGTTTTTTTTCTTGTAATCCATGATTGAATTTTTTATTTTTTTTTGTTTTTTTGTAACCCATGATAGAATTTTTTGTAATCCATGATCAAATGTTTTGTAATACATGATCGAAATGTTTGTTTTTTTTTTGTAATCCATGATCGAAATGTTTGTTTTTTTTTTGTAATCCATGATCGAATTTTTTGTTTTTTGCTTTTTTTGTAACCCATGATAGAGTTTTTTGTAATCCATGATTGAATTTTTTGTAACCCATGATCGAATTGTTTTTTTCTTTTTTTGTAATCCACGATTGAATTTTTGGTTTTTTTTGTTTGTTTTTTTTTATAATCCATGATCGAATTTTTTTTTGTAATCCATGATAGAATTTTTTGAAAATTTGTGATTTTTTTTTTTTAATACATGATCGAATTTTTTTTTGTAATCCATGATAGAATTTTTTGAAAATTTGTGTTTTTTTTTTTAATCCACGATCGATTTTTTTGAAAATTTGTTATTTTTCTTTTTAAATCCATATTATTCGAAGAGAAAATGAGAGAGATGATGATTCTAAGGCCACCCTATCCCAGCCATATTATTCACATATCGAGTCCCAACAGCAACAGTGTAGGGATAAGCACGACCGTGCAGGTGAGCATGAAGGATAGACAATATTCGGGGATTTTAGATTGGGAACACAACAAAACACTAACATTAAGGGATTTGGGAATAGTCAGACGCCTGCTAATATCGATGATTCGTTTTTAGATCGAATCAATGAATTGTTAAACGAATTCAATCAATGGCACCAGCGTGACTAAGAAGAACAATAACGTCGTCTATCATTTTATTTTTAGATCATATGTTGCTAATTTTATGCTTTATTGTAGTCCATGTATATTGATATACTTATTTCATGATAATTATATGTTTATCCTTTTGTGTGATGTAAATTAAATGCTGAATGGCGGTTCATGTAGGGATAGAACATATCAATATTCACATATTCATTCAAAAACATGAAAATTCTTAATGGAGTACCCTCATTTCTTATTGAATTCCTAAAAAATAATATTTATAATAAATTTTAATAATTTATTTGGATTTTTTTTAAACTTTATTATGACTGATTCACCCGATTCTCGATCCAAATAACCGATTCGTCGATCCGAATTGATTTTTTGGAAGCCCGATTCGAGCCATCGATCCGTTTTTTAAACCATTGGGTTGGGACGATTTCAGCTGACGACTCGGAATGAGCTATTGGATTAGAAGAAATATATAAAGAGTGTTGGAAAAAGCATAGAAAGGTTGCCCTAATTAAAAAAAAAAAAAAAAGAAAAAAAAAAAAGTCATCATGACCGTATCAATGGGGCTGAATGGTCCCGCCAAACGTAAGTATCTGCTCTCCGTCCATAGGCGTTAACCCAGCAAATGGGCGGTTAAGATGTTTCTGCTCCTCACGTTAATGAAGAAGAAATCAACTGCATCACCGTCCAACTGTCCAAACCATTAAGCGAACGGTGATAAACGTTTTCGTGATCGCCAAGCAATACGAAGCGGACGCATCTAAACATTAAAATTGTTCTATATTCCCTCAAACTTCCCAGAGAGGCCTTCTTCCCTCTATAAATATCGCTCTCTCTCTCTCGCTCGCTCGCTCGCATTGCCTTTCTCGGATTACCTGGTCAGTTCTATTTTCTCTCTCTGCATTCTCATTTACGTTTCCTTGTTTTCCGATTTGTTTTACCTCGTTTTTTTCCAGTTAGCTCCTCGCTTTTCCATTTTCCGACCAAGACTCTTCGCTTTCCGACGAATTCTCAATTTTCCGGTGTTTTTCTCAGATTTCCGGCGCAAGTTCGCTCTTTCTCAGCGTGTTTTCTCGTTTTACTGTCCATTATCTCCAATTTTCTGGCGCTGTTTCTCTCAGGGTTCCTTACTTTCCAGGTGATAGTTTCCATTTGCGGCCGTATCTCTCGAAGTTTGCGGCATAGTTCCTTGATTTTCCTGGCCATTTTTACATTACAGGCCACCGTCAAGCCTTCGATATTTGATCAAGGTTTATTTTCTCTGACGATTGTCTAAGATTCTAGGTACTGTTAAAAAAAAAGGTTGTCTAAGCTTCTAAGTAAGATCTGTAATTAGTTTGTTTTATTGGACTCTTTGGTCGTTTATCTTGATTTTCAGACGATTTTTTTATACTTTTCCTGCCAAAATCTCAGCCTTCTTTCTCTTTCTGGTCTGATTTTAGTGAAATCGCACTTAATCCGTTTGATTCCTGGCGGATACCTAATTACAGTACATTTCCTGGCAAGACCTGGGAATTTCTGGCCAACTTCAGGCGAATCCTTGAGTTTCCGGCCAATCTCCAGCAGGCACCATGCCTAACAGGCACCCAGGTATGATTACCCAAGACCGGGAACGAGTAATCATTCGCAAAACCAAGCAAAAGGTGAGTGAGCTCAAAGACCCTAAGGCAGTGAACGCAGCCATGAGAGCAGGTGCTCAGGTCCCATCTGTGAAGAAATTGGACGCAAGGATCAACAAGAAGGGAACAAATGCGCTGCCAGGGAACGCCCGCAAGCTCGATGCGGGGATGGAGCCTGCAGCTCTAGAGAGGGTTAAAGTGGAGAGGGTGAGGGTTAAAGAAGAGAGGGTGCCTGCAGCTCTAGAGAGGGTTAAAGTGGAGAGGGTTAAAGTGGAGAGGGTTAAAGTAGAGAGGGTTAAAGTGGAGAGGGTTAAAGTGGAGAGCGTTAAAGTAGAGAGGGTTAAAGTGGAGAGGGTTAAAGTGGAGGGGGTTAAAGTGGAGGAGGTTA